ACATCACTGCCTGAGAAATTGTGTGGAGCCCCTGTAGCATCAGCCACAAATCTACAGACATTTAGTATCCTGGGATTAAAATTATTATTATATTCTAGGGTGAAAAAAAAAAAAAAGCAGATGGGATCCTATAAAAATAAGCAGCTTAATGACAACATGTTCCATTTTTAGTTTAACAAATGTAGGTGCATAAAATTTGGGCTAAGGAGCATTTCATTCCAGTGCTCTGTTTCAAGGCTTTCACAGAATGTTTTCTTCCAGATTTTCCTTTTTTTTTTTTTTTAAATGAGAAACCTAAAATCAAGTACCCCAAAAGCAGAACTTCCAAGAGTTACTTTGGGAAATTTAATCTAGGTTATTTACCATGTTTATTCATTAGCCTGTGTACCTTTGTCCTGAAAATATTTTTATTATTTATGAAAACATACTAATGGTGGTGACAAATACAGTGAAGATTCAATAGAACTTTAAAATACCTTTGTCCATGTGCCTTGTTATTTAGGACAACAAATTCAAATATTAAATATAAATATTTGAGATTGTTTCATGTAAATGCCTTGCTTATAGGTTTTTTCACTTGTGTCTGTGGTGGATTTTTTGTGGGATGTAAAAACAGCCACAAATATGTTTTCATCTTTCAGCTAAAAATGCGAATTCACATCTTAACTGGCTCACTGATTCATTTTAGCAAACTTTGATTTGAGGGGTATCTTGTAATCTTTACACACACAGAGCTAAATACTTTATAAAGCCAGTCCTTCCATCTTTGCCCTAAAAGGAAGCTACTTTAGATATAAAGACAGAAAACCTCAATCCTGCAGAACCTGTGCATTTTAAAAACTCCCCTTTTCCCCTTGCAGTGTTGCACTATGCAGTGTGGAACAGGTAATACTGTTTTACTAAAATGTGCCTGTTTAAGCCATTTGAGTATAATAAATTACTAATTTCTAAGACAATCACCAAAAAATATGCAAGTATTAATGTGGTTTACACATGTAGTGTGGTTTTATTTAAATATACACCACCATTCTGCAGTGATGTTTGTAATGCCACATCTTGCCTAAATATGTTGTTGTCTCAGTCAAGGTTTGCAACGTGTAGATGAAGAGAAATCCTTTCTATAAAAAAAATTTCAAAGCATTCTACATATCTTAAGAGGGCTACACCAGTTTTCATTATATCTTACAGATATTAGCACTTTTATTTAATGTACTTTATAATATTAGAGGGTCAAAATAATCTTCCTGCTTAGCATCTCTCACCTGCAAATATAGCAGGGACGTTATATTTACTTAAATACGTGTATAAACTATGCAGAAATTTTTAAATAAATTGTAATATATTTTATAAGCTAATAAGACTGGGTAATTAAAGGTTTCTGGCGTGCATTACTATACCTTGCAAATATGGAGACATTATGGTAATCTTTTCTTACTAAAGATGTGAATGTTTAATGTACTTTCACTGTTTCTACTTTGGTAGTCCAATGGGAATTCAGTAATGACATTTTGTCATGTCAAACTGTGAAGAGAAATTTGTACTGTACAGTCCTCATACTCTATTTAGTATACGATGCATATGTATTTCCCTCGTTAATAAAACCCTCAGAGCATTGTCTGTGGTGATGCCACCATACGGCGCTGTCCTGGTGTGGGGTGGGAAGGGCAGGAGCCCCAGGCACTGCTGCAGGCACCTGCCCCGCTTCCCCTCCCGTGCTGTGCAGAGGCTGTGCCCAGCAGAGCGCTTGTTGCCAAGCTCACAACAGCCCACTCGCTTCTAGTTAGGGCATTCTAATTAGTTGGCGGGTCTGGAGCACCACACATGCAAGTTTGAGGGTTTTATCCCTCGGACAATGGCTGTCTGGGCCTGCTCCTTTAGCCATGCTCTTCCTGCAGCCCCTGCCCCAGCTGGGGTGCCAGGTCATCGATGGGCATCAGTCCTGCTCCCCTCCAGGCACTCCCACAGGCTCTGTTGAGAGATGATGGCGTGCAGAGCGGACAAAGAACTGGTTTTATTTCTTCATACCTTTCAGATGCCCAAAAAGAGTGAGCCCAGCTGAGTTCACTA